AAAAAAAAAACGAAAAAAAAACAATGGATGACCACAAGTAAGGAGACTCAAATGGAAGTGGAATTCAAATCTCTTTTTTTATTTATTTTTTTGGAAAAGGCAAAAAAAAAAAGAACTCAAAAAGATTGTCAAACAAACTAGTAAATGACTAATTCAAAGAACAACCATAAGACAGATAGCACTGATAGCACTGGTGACAGTGGTGGGGGCGTGTTTAAAAAAAAAAAAACAAAAAAAAACAAAAAAAAAAAAACAAAAAAAAAACAAACATAAGACAGATAGAATTCAATTTGATTGAATTGATGGGGCGCCTTAGGCGCCGGCGAATATACAATTAATCTTCAGTAATTTGTAAAGTTGTGTAAACCAACAAAATATTTTCCGTTCCTTTTGTACGTCCTTCTCCTCCTCCATGAGGATGGTCTGATTCATAGCAACACCACGAACAACGGAGGATCGTCTTTCTAACCAGCATCTACTCTTCGAGCCTTTGCCACGGTGGAGAACGTCAGGTCGAAGAGACGAATTTGTCAATTTCGTGAAAGGAAAAAAACATGAAAAATTCTCTTCTGTTTACATCGAAGAACTTAGGAATGAAATACAGTTTTTCTACTATTTTTGAATTGATAACAGATCTTATTGGAATATTCCCAGGAAGATTCTCACGCCCGGCCGGGCACCCGGGCGTGCAGAAAAAAAAAAAAAAAAAAAAAAAACTCTGCGCTCTCCCAGAGGACCCCAAATCCGGGCTCATATCGGGTTGTATCTCAGGGTGCCCGGCCTCATGGTTGGAAGAAAAGTAAGAGATTTGGAGCTACAGCATTACCAGTTCCACTTCCAGGTTGTATGTCGCGATCCCGGCCTCATGGTTCTTTCTTGGAAATAAAAAAGTCACTGTTTAAAAAAAAAAAAAAAAAGATTCATATCCCCAAAGAGTCAAAGACCAATGTACCAGCAATACTCTTATAATTCTTTGACAGAGAACAAAACCACGTATCCACGAAAGATATAATTATGTAGGCTAGTTAGCTCGCCCAGCTGTGCAGCATGGAAGTGCGACCCGGGCAAGGCGCCCGGGGGTCACCTGCATGGGGCACCCCGTGCAGGCAAAAATCAGCATTTATTATTATTATTTTTTTCGGGGTGGAGGTTTTCTGAGCATGCCCAGAGGAGCCCAAATCTGGGCTTCTTTCTTTTTTTGAGCATGGGCTGTCAAGGGGTGGGGAGGGGGCGAGAAGTGGGGTATAAATTGTTTTTTAAGGGGCTAAAGGGGTTTTAAGGGGGTTGCCTTAGTCTGATTCTGTTGTTTGCTATGTTACCAGTTGTCCGATGGCAGGACGTCCTGGCCGGACGTCCTGGGTGGACAGTCAGGGGGGTCCCGGACGTCCGGGCCCGGACAACTCCATTTTTAGCAATTAAATGCGCAAAAAAAATAAAAAAAATTGAGGGTGTCTTTAATTTTATTTTTTATTTTAAAATTGACAACGAATTTCGATATCATGCCAAGGCAAAAGTTGTTCAGTTTATGTTTGTGCATAACATAGTTTTTTTTTTCAGATTTTTCGGACGACTTTTTTTTTTTTTCGCCGTTCGGGCTCGGACAGTCTGCCAGGGGAGGATGTCCAACCGGTTGTCCGAGCGGACAACCCCGGACGGTCAGGGGGGTCCCGGACGTCCGATCAGGTAACCTAGGTTGTTTGCCTTTTTTACTTTTTTCCCCCCCAAAAAACAATTCTTTGAAAAAGAAACTCCCACAGTCTCTTTGCCTTCCATTCCGTGAGGAATTGTGATCCGCCAAAAGTTGTTTGTATTGCAATTTTGTGCGACGCATTTTTTCTTGGATTTTTTTTTTTTTTTTTGACGCTTGGGCAGCCCGGAACTCTGCTCCGGGTTCATGCCCGGCTGGGCACCCCCGCACGTGTATATCCGGGCACAAGTTGGGTGCCCGGATGCCCCGATGCCCCGACAAACAGCCTGGGTAATTAATAATTATCCAGCAATGAGTTACTTATTCATCACCCAACAAAGATATGAACAGGAAGACGAGTGTGATTTTTTTTAATTTTTTTTTCCTGTTCCAAAAATCTGAATGGACTGAAAGGTCAGTGTGAGATTTGCAGCTAACGCATTACCAGATCCATATCGCCGAAGGTCGAGGTACCACCAATACGAGTTCTTGTCCAGTCCTGCTTCTTCCATTCTGCTCTCCAAGACCTAACATCACAACAAAGGGAAAAAAAAGGAAAGAAAGAGCTTCAAAGTCCAAACATGAAAAGCAAAAAATTAAACAAAAGAGCTGCAAAGCCCAAAAGTCAAAACCAAAAGTGAAAAGCAAAAGTGAAAACCGAAAGTAACCAACCGACTTGGCTCAGTTGGTACACCCCCATAAACTAACTGTTGAAATGCAGACCACCTTCAAAAAAAAAAAAAAAAAAAAAAAAAAAAAAAAAAAAGTAGACCTGAGTTCGAACCCAGATGAACAAAATGGAAAATTGAAAATTCCTGAATTACCTGGGGCCGCTCAGTTTCACGATGCTACCTCAAGGATGTCGCCATTTTTGTTTTAAAGAAGGAGAAAAAAAACCGAAAAAAAAAACAAAAGTAACAAGGGGGAGAGAGTGGTGGCTTCCTCATTTGTCTTCCAACGTGTCGGGGCGAAGAGGACCACCTGTCCCCCCCGCATAGAACGGAGCCAGGAGCTCATTGCCCCTGTCTTCTTTTTTCTTTTTTTTTAAACATTACTGCCTCCAAGACTCTTTTTTCCGACCGTCTTTCCCCGAATACAACGCACCCCTCATTTTGGCTGTACCTCACCCGAAATACAGCTTGTATACATTCATCAATCAGGGTGCGTTATGTTCAGCGGAAGACGGTAGGACAATCGCAGGTGCAAAACCGCGCGATTTGTTTTCTTTTTGGCTGGCAGCGCTCGTGCAGATTTTGGTCTGGTAGCCCTGATCGCCTAAATAAAGATGCGACGCTCGTGCAGGCTCAGGCAAAAAGAACTACCAGGGAGAGGCAGTGGTGGTTCAAGCAGCACAAAATAAGGGGACAGGGAAGAGAGAATCTGACATGTTTATAAAAAAAAAAAAAAAAAAAAAAAAAAAAAAAAAAAAAAAAAAAAAAAAAAAAAAAAAAAAACCCCCCCCCCCCCCCCCAAAAAAAAAAAAAAAAAAAAGGGGTACCCTTCATTAGAGTGGCGCAGCGACCGGTGGAAAAACAACTATGAATCAAGCAAAAGACGCACCCCCCCCCAGCAGATCATGGAACCAGGGCCGGGAGGAGCGGCTCAGGACATCCGACAGAAGAGGCCTGTCGATCCCCTCTATAAAAGGAGGATTAATCAACGCAGGCCCCGCACAAGGATTGAGGGCGGGACTCCGTTGTACCGAAATGTAAAAGGGACACTGGGTCCGGTTCCCAGCACGTGCTGCAACCCAGGAATAACATCGGAGCCCCCCCACGAGCAGACCCCCGGCTAACATGGACTCTTATCCCTGCCTGCTGGGAGGCTGCAGCAGATGGTGTTTTCATTAAACAAAAAAAAAAAAAAAAAAAAAAAAAAAAAAAAAAAAAAACCCTTCAGAGTAAAAGAACAAAAAATAAAAATTGCCTCCTTCTCTGATGGCTGGAAGGAGATAACAAAGCTATGTTCTCACGGGTCCCCTGTATAAGCCTTAGGAGTAGTGGTAGGTAGGTAGTGAAGGTGAATTCAAAAAATTGAAAGATGATGAAACATTTGAGAGAAGAACATAGCGTAGTGTTAAAAAAAAAAAAAGGAAGGAACATGCCTTATTCTCTTTCTCCTTCTCTTTCTCTTCCTACCACTTTTTCAAACTGCAAACAGGTCAATCAACAAATCAGCACCCAAAAAAAAAAAAAAAAAAGACTAACTTGGCGCATGAAACTGTCGATGAACATAATATTTACCCGAAAATAAAAGAATTCATGCCACATCAAACACAATTTATTTTCTTCGCTGCCTCCTTTTTAAGTCGGAGAGGAGAGGAATCGAAACCGTTCGTTGTGCAACTACCAGCCCGGCCCGAAATCAAGGCTCCAAGCCGTCAAAAAAAAAAAAAGAAGAAAGAAAGGAGAGTCCAACAATGAATGGCTACTGCTGACTACATCGTATCCAAGGAAGGAGGTCCACAAGGATGTAAAAAAAAAAAAAAAAGACGAAGAAGAAGTACACGAAAAAGAAGTAGACGAAGAAGTAGACGACGATGAAGAAGAAGAAGAAGAAGAAGAAGAAGAAGAAGACGGCGACGGCGACGTCGACGACGACGACGACGACGAAGAAGAAGAAGAAGAAGAAGAAGAAGAAGAAGAAGAAGAAGAAGACGGCGACGGCGACGACGACGACGACGAAGACGAAGAAGAAGAAGAAGAAGAAGAAGAAGAAGAAGAAGAAGAAGAAGAAGAAGAAGACGGAGAAGAAGAAGAAGAAGAAGAAGAAGAAGAAGAAGAAGAAGAAGAAGAAGAAGAAGAAGCATCCACGCTTCAATATCCTCAATAATGAGTTGAAGGTCAAGGTCAAGGGTCAAAACACGGATTCAAAACTCGGGTTCAAAACTCGGCGGATCCCGGTGCGCGCGGGAATGGGATTACTTCGCGGATATTCTCCATGCCTGTGGCAAACTGAACAAGGCGTTCAAAGCCAACGCCGAATCCTGCGTGGGGAACTGTTGTCAGGACAACCAAACACACAACAGGCGACAGAGCATTAGGCTCCCATAGTTAGCGAAAGAAAGTACCTGATCTGATTAGGAAAGGCATTAGGGGAAAGGGACACCAACCAGAACAGCAAAAACAATACTGACAAACTGAAAGGCTAACCAAAAAAAAAAAAAAAAAAAAAAAAAAAAAA